ATTCTCAGCGGACTAATCATAGTGAGACGCTGACTGATTGGATCGGTCAACTTGCGTTTAGATTTGAGTCTATTTTTAATTAAAAATTACTAATATAATACAAATAATTTTTGACTGAACTGGTTTTAATTTTAATTTTAATCATATTTGCTTCTTGTAAATTAATTTTAGTCACTGTTTCAACTACTGGTTTATATTCTTGTTAAACATTTGTATTTGAGAATGTGTGCTGATACATTTTTATTGAATGACTCAATATATTTAAATAATTTTATCATCATTATGGACTAATTGCGACCGATATAATGAAAGAATGTAACTGAGCATATTACAAGACTGAAAGTATTACATTATAGCGACAGAAGATAGATAGAAGGAATACTACCAACACTTTGCATAACTATAATCTGTAGAAATTGTATCTAACTGTTTTATTAATTTTGTTAAATTTATTTTCTCTACATGTATACACTGAGGACCTTAATAATAAGGTTGAAACGTATGTTCTAAGAATTTGAAATACGACATAATCGTACATAAAAATCTGACTTGTAGTGCTTTCTTGTTATTTATTGTTTATTATTATTAAGCCATTATAAGATTATTTTTATTTATTATAATATTTTTATTATCTAGATCAGAGAAAAACTTGAGAGAGAACATGACGGTCCAAAACCTGTAACCTGTGTTACATGTAACACGATTATATGAACCAAATATCGATTTATCAATTCCAGCTTTGAAAAGTGGACGTTGCTATGTATAATAGTTTACATCCACTTTGTCAGAAGGCAGAAGTGTGCGGCAGCATTTTGTGGTTGCAAGTTTTGGGCCGTCATGTCCTCTCTCAGGTTTCTCTCTGTCTAAAGATAAGATGATGTCAAAATTTCATCTAGATGATCATCTAGATAATTTTATTTAGATAAGATCAAAAGTGAGTATATTACAAATTATTAAGAAGAGGCACATATGTTTTATCTAAAAATTTTGTATCTGTTTAAAGATTAATTCTATTCTTCTGTCTTTTAATGTAAATCATCTCTGACATTAATCTCTTGTTATAATTGCATTCAGTGTCTAAGATTTCAACTTCATCCCAATTAAATTTATGACCACAATGCAACCTATGTTTGGTTAACTGATTGCACAGATATGCATTTACAGATATGGTTCTTATGTTTCGAAATTTTAGTTTTTAATTGTCTGCATGTTTGACCTATGTAGGTTGCAGTCATTGCATGAGATTTTGTAGACAACATTCTTTTTAAATGAAGCAAGAAAAGGATCTTTATGCACTTTGATTACACACTGAAGTTTGTTCAAACTAAAAAAAGAGAAATTGGAGTTTTAATCTTTGGTGACAGTTTTAAATTTCTTAGAAATGCTAATAATATATACATAGGATGATGAATGACTGTACATTTTCATTATCCTTTGTGGTATCTTTGTCGTGATTAATATAAATTTTTTAAATATTCTTGAAGCTTCCACGGGTGCTTTCTATATAAAAGTTATGCGTTTCGCGGATTTTCTCCCTGTTCACGGAGGAAACCTGTAAAACGCATAACTTTATATAAATTTTGTTGTTGTTAATAACATGTTTAATTCTGCTGTGAATTGTATCAAAGATAAATTTCAATAGGTAATCATTAATTAAAAGAATGTTCACAATAAATTCTCAAATTTTTTGATAAAACAGGATGAGAAAGAAGAATGAAGAAGGCCCATCAATCATATTGTGCTTCTCTTTTGTATAAAAGAATGCTAGATAAAAAATTCAAGTATCTCTAAATAGAAAAGATAGGTTTTTGATACCAGTCGAAAATTATTATTTAAAATAAAAGAGATTCAAGATCTCTCCACCTAGTAAATTTATTATTTAAATAAAAACAATAGTATCTAAAAAGTTAATTGTGTTACTACCTATTTCTAAAGTAAATTGCAGTCTTGAATGGTAAGAATTAAATTTGTTAAGAATAATTTTTGAGTCATTTTTTATGGTATAGCCATAACTATGTCGCCAACAAATCTATAGTAAAAATATCTCGAAATCAAATGTCTCCAGCAGCACTCTTTCTAAATCCTGCCTAAATTAATACTGAGGACAGAGGAGAGCCCATCGGTGTGCCAAATTGTTGCCTATATATGCAATCAAATTTATCAAATTTAAAGTAGATTGACTCTAATACAAATCGGATTGCCCTCAAGAATTCATCTCTTGGTATATTACAATGGTTCGAAATAAAATTCCATTTTTTGGAAATGCTCTCTATAACTAAATCTGTGGGTACGTTAATTAGTAAAAAATGATATCACATCTAAAGATATCAAACAATAATCATCAATTAAGATGTATGTTTTTTAGTTTATTTACTAAATTGTAACTGTTGTTAATATGATTTGAAGCTGTTGGAATGCTTTTATATAAAATTTTGTGTAAGAGGAAAGAAAAATTATAGAGAGGACTGTCTGTCAAAGAGACAATAATTCTGATGATATGCATCTCAGTTTGTGCATTTCAGGGACACCATATGCTCTTGATAGAATGCAGTCACTAATGTTCAAATATTTGTAACATTTCGGTGTAATATATTCAAGATCTCTCCACCTAGTAAATTTCTGAGATTATTAGACATTTTTCTAGTTAAGTCTTTATTAACTTTTTCGTATATCTCAACATCACATAGCATATCGTTTAATTTGGAAATGTACATGTCTTTGGCCAAAGTGACAGTGCCTTTATCGGCCCTGGTAAATATTACATTAGGATTGACAGTCATGAACTTTGTTAATTATTTTTTTGAATTCAAAAGCTGTGTAATATTCTTGTTGTAACGAGAAGAAAAGGAAGAAAATTTATTGATAATTGGAATTAATCTATTTCTCGTGGTGTTTCTAAAATTTATAGGAATTCTATTGATATTGTTCTCCGTATTTTTTATGAATTCAACAGTTAATTTTTTAGAGTTAGTGGTTAGGGAAAAATTTTCTCCCAATTGTATTAGATCTTTAACATCTTTTGGTATGTTATACGAAGACATGTTTAAAAACCATTTGTCTTTAATCGAATTAATTGAGGAAGAGAATGGTTGATTGGAAAAGTTTGTCGGGTTATATATATATAAGATGAATTTCTTTGATTTTCTGACAACATGGAAGAATTCGAATGTGAATGGCGGAGTTAATGAAAATTCATGAGTGTCTGATATAGTATGTGATATAGATTGGTTGTCAGAAAGATTATTTTGTGAATTGTGTTGAGTATCTTTAATAAAATATCGAGTATATAGTATATGTTATTAAGATCTAGTTTTTCTTGTTTTTTGGACAGCCAATCCATTTTTTTGTTAATTCTATTTGATTCATTTTCGAAGAATTGTAGACTAATAAATTGTTTATTAAAGAATGAGTTACAAATGGCAATAGGAAGATATTTCTCAGTGTTATATACAAGGCTTAAGATCATGAATTTAGAATGATTAATAGGTTCTTAATATATGAATTCGTCAAATTTTTGAATTTCGATACTGAATTATAATCAGTTATTAAATTATTACTTAAAATAAAATAAAATAATATTAATATGTAAATATATATAAATAATATAATATATAAATATATATAATATAATAATATAATATAAAAATATAATATAACTTTTATATTTATTTATTAAAAACGTATTTATTTCGTATAAAAACATTTTTCAAATAATCGAGGTAATAAAAAACACACGAAACGAGGCACATGTCCGACTCGCTCGAGTGGTTTTACGGATTAGGTTAGATGATATATATTGACTTGTCCTAAATCCGTTCGTGTCACCTGATTCCAATTGCTTCAACTGCCATCTTACCTATGATCCAAGTACTCTCTTGCTGGATTCACACTGGATCCGACGTACGACGCTCTGCAACCAATCAAAAAGCAGAACTTTATTTTAATGATACGAAGCAAATCTTGTTTTCTGATCTAATGTGAATCCAGCATCTAAGTTAATTTGGAGCATGCGATGCGAATAAACCTCTAATGCGAAAGAATAGCGATAGCGATAGGAATAACACGATTTAAATCTATTAGATACACTGGAATATACAGTTTTTGGTAGGTTTTGATAGGTTAAAATCGTGTTATTTCTATCACTATCGCTATTCCTTTGCATTGTGTCTGGGGCTTTACTGCTAGTTGTCAATACAGGTTCTGCTCCAAAATTCACTGTCGGCGCTGAAAATCTATAGTTTATATATTATGGCTGCGACTGATTCGGACGCTCACGCGCTTTAAGCGCTTGTAATCATCATTCTGTCTTTATCGTTCATTAATCCGGTTCCACATTAGTTGCAAGCTGATCGCAAGTTTGTTGCATCAGCCAATCTGAAGCTTACATTTTGAAATCAACGCTTCATATTGGCAGCAAACTTGTGATTTGAGTATAAATCATGACTTTATTCTTAGGATAGAAAGTGAAAAGTGGAAAATTTTTACCATTGAAATTAATGGAGAAATTTTTTATTTTTCACTTTCTATCTTAGGGATAAAGTTTCATGATTGATACTCAACTTGCAACTAATGTAAAATCGGCTTTAGATAAAAATAAGAATAGAAGTATTGAAAAGCGCTGAAAGCGATCAAATCAATCGCAGCCTATACATTTTCAGCACGCTGGCAGGTTTTCAGCTGGCAGTGAATTTTGGAACACAGTCACAGTATAGGCTATGGTTGCGTTTGTTTTGCCGCTCAGCGTTTCTGAATATCAATTGTCCTTGTTTAATATTTACTAAACAATAAGGATGAAACGATGCTTAAAGCGTTGTGAACGCCAAAGCGAACACAGCCTATGTATTCTAAAATTCATTGGCAGTGCTGAAAATGTATGATACACGTAACATAAACTATAGATTTTCAGTGCTGGCAATGAATTTTGGAACACAGCCATAGTATACGTTACGGGAACTATAGATTTTCAATACTGGCAGTTAATTGGCAATAATATACGAACATGGCCCTAGTTTGGAATTTCGGAGTTATCGCAATCAGTCGCAACACAACAAGTACAGTGAAGTACGGTGTTCGGACGTTTTTCACGGGGCCTCATTTAGAAAGGGTTGCTTAGAAATTCGTTAAGAGTATCTCGCGCGCACGTAAATTATTCGATGCGCGTTAATTCGCACACATCAATCTAATCGATTCGCTGGCCTTTTCACTGGAAAGAGAAACTGAGAGAAACCGACGACGCGGGCACATTGGATTAGGTTCCCTGACTCAACGTAAAAGCGCGCAAATCCGAGTGAGAGGTCGTCGATAAGTTTAGGTAATACGAAATGTCATGGGCAAATGATTTTGATGGACGGGATAGAAATATCTCTGCTTCGGTTAGGAACGTTTATCGACGTACACGATGCACCACGTCGAGAAATAACCTTAACGGAAACGTTGTTTTATTTAACAAACCAAATCACCATTTAGCGAAAAGATCCAATTACGTTCCTGTATCAAGGCCAATTTTTTTGGTTTGCTGAATACACTTGTCAACAACATTGACATCGTTTATGATATTATTTCATTAAGTGTTTCAAAACTTTATCTTTCGAACACGACTTGGTTATGCTTTTAAGTAAAAGATCTTTTATATTTCTTACTAGCCGTAATCTATTAACTTGTGCTGTAATCTGTAATGCCGAGTCTACAATGAATCGGGAAGTCCTAAGTCTTATTGGTGAAGTTGGCCAATAGCCAACTTGTACAACTAACGCTGATTGACCAACTTCATCAATTAAGTCTAACTTCCGACTAAAGACTCATTGTAGATCCGGTATAAGGATTAACCAGTTATAGTTGACTGTTCCTCCCTCATTTGACTGTATTTGGTCAGTTCTTACAGATTATGGCATCAATAGATTACAATCAGTATAAATGATCCTTAATCCTTCTTTTCCAATTTAATAAGTTTACTTGAAAAAAATTGATTAAAAAGATTAAAAGTTATAATATCAATTTAAGAAACCTTGTGTAAAATAACTAATTAATATCTAATAGATTGAAGGCATTTATGTGCATTTAGCCTGGATCGTTCTGAAAGAAAAGAAAGTCATTTCTCTCTTTGAATATATAGATGTAAAAATAATACTAAAATATTGAGTAAGCAAAATACATAATAGACATTTATTTATAATTATTAAAATAATATACATTTATTCAGGTTAAGTTAACATTCACTTGCAAATTCATTCACTTGCATTCATTGTTTTTATATTCTGTTTAATTAAAATATTATATATATTATCTTTGATGACTATATATAATGTTTGGTGGTATGTTTGTACAATGATAACTTTTGAGAACAATATATCTTTACATCTTTGATAAAAGAAGCATTATCCTGTAATCTACTTGTTACATGAAATCTTAATTTAGAACAGAGTATATGAGTTTAACCTTACTATATATACTCTTAAGACATTTATATGTGAATTTATACAGTTTGGTTTATTCAGGGAGCACTTTTGTCAATAACCATTTTGTAATTCTTTGTTTTAGGCTAGAGAGATGTATCAAAGAAGGTAACACAAATCTAGAAGACAGGATCATGGCAAATAGAAGAGACAAGCCTACTGGCTTTGTGAGTAAAATCATTAAATCTTAATGCATATCTATATAAAGAAAATTTATTAATAAAAATATATGAGAAAGGGAAATGTATAATGCTACTGCATTTTCTTTTCTCATATATTTTTATTAATACATTTTTTTAAATATACTTATTTAAAATAATGTAATGTATGGCCATAAATCATATTGGATACAAAAAGTATCTCAAATAGCTAGTAGTATGCTGGCAGCAAATTTGATCATGATGCAGTAGATTTTAACTGCTGCTTCCTCATTAAGCTCAGTTTCTAGCAGCACAATTTGTCAATATAAAACTATAAGAGCGATGTAACAAAGATCGAGTATTGTTACCATATCATGGCAGCAAATATGTAGCAAATATTGGACAAAGTTTGCCATATTCTGCTGTCAGTATCAAATACTGATAGCAGAAAGATAGTAGAAATCAGGCATCTGATGTCACATTGTGATAGCGAAAACGCGGAAAGGCTACAGCTCAACTTATCATCAAATAGTGACAGCAAAAACATAGTAAATATCGAGCATAGCCTGCCGTTACGACGTAATTGCAAAAATGCGGCAGATATAGGATGCCTTCCAACAAGAGACACACATGACATGGTGTGACACAGTGCATCATTATATCTTTATTCGCCAATATTAATACGTTTTATAAGTTAACGGAAAAAAGTGAGCAGAATCAATTCTAACTAATATTTTTATTTGTTGCTCGAAAGTTATCAAAGAAAAAACTTTGTTGCTCTGTCGGTTTTTTTAAAATGATGTCCGGCTAAAGGAAGATTAAGTTAGCAGATATTTCGACAACAAAATTAGCAACAAATTCCTATGTTGTTTTTACGTAGATCAGCTTTGTTGTATATAGCAGAACAA